TAAAGTTTCATACATCTCACTCAGTTAATCATTTTTTTTATTAATCCATAGCAATTAATTATGTGTTTAACATTTTATTTAAAATTGAATTACGTATGTAAATACAACCGAACTCTCACTTAGCTTAATTAAATGAAGCAATCCAAACAATGTGATTATTACTTTTATGTTTTGGTTTAAGAATTTTCATGCAATTGAGAATTATATTAACGCATGGTGTATTGATTACATGTCATTTCGGTCCCACGTCATTTCGGACTTACATTTCGGACTCAAATAAAAATGGCCCGGCGTTTCGGACTCGCACAGGTGATATACTCGCGAAGTATATCAAATACTGGTGAAGTATATAAAATTCTCGTTCATTATATATGGGTTGTAATACACGTGAATTATTTCAAGCCCTTGAATATTATTAAATACAGTATTGTTGTTGTTTTTTTTTTAAATAATACTTTTGATTGTGTACGGCCTTAAACTTATCTGGCATGCTGAGGCTTTTCGGTAGAGAAGGTCCTCGCTTTTTTTTTCTTTTCCCTTTAATATATTGTTTTTTAACACCGTTGCCCAATCCGCGTTATGACTAGGGACAGTCCCGCAAAATGTTTCCAAGTCCCGCGTCCCAAAAACAAGCCAAAATGTCCCACAATAGCTCACATGGAAGACTTCTATTACAGTAATATGCGTGAATCTAGTCTTGCGATAGTCTATTTGAGTATTGGTCTGGTCAAAATACCGACCGACCCCCCACAAATTGCTTTAGAAGGTTTTTTGGTACCAAATTGTAGATATAGATGACCTTTCCCTGTGCATCATACTGAAAATCCACCGAAATCCACCGGCGTGATTCCCCCTTGCCACTGGTGCAGGACAACGTATACTCATTCAGATGAGACGTAAAAGAATTCTTGGCAGTTGGATTAGCGCTGGTCTTCGGGCAGAATTTCCCTTCTCTATAGGACACGATATGGCGTACGCCTGTCTTCATTAGCCCAGTCGGACGTTAAACCCCATTTCGTTTACCTTTTAACTCAAAGAAATAAATGTTTTAATGTAATAAACATAAGAAATGGAAAATATTGCTCGCCGCCATGACAAATACTAACGAATATAATTTATATAACAGTGACACCCGTACCCTTCTTTTGCACTACAACTACAACCGACAACACCCGCGGCCGCCTCCATACTCCAAGAAAATAAAATAAATATTGTAAAAATCTCAACTACCAGTAGAAATCTCAGTTCTCAGACAATACATTTTCTAAAATCTCCAGCTATTCACTTACATATTGCAACTTGGAAAATGTGCTTTTTCGTATGCTGGGCCTTTTCTATAGAATAAACAGCCAAAGCCAACTATTGTCAGCGGGCCATTTCAAACTCAAAACAGTCGAGGGAGAGAGAGAAAGGAGAGAAACAGACACACTATAATTCGATTGCAAATAATGTCGTTAGCTATGGGGGGAACCAGTGTAGCAGGAGAAAAGCCACGAGGTTAGACGGCGAATCTTTTCCTTGTGACGTACAAGTTGGAAATCGAAACCACGCCAGTTGGCTCAATGACAAAACTTAACCAATCGGGCAACCTCCAACCCACCCTATTACCCAAAGAATAATAAAGAACCACAGCAACCGAGAATATTAGCTGACTACTGCGGCATTTGCCGTGACCGATCGCCATGCATTTTTTTTTATGTACAATGGAAAGCTATAGGTGGACAATGGATGAATCGAATTGCTTGTTCCTTTATTTGAAGGTGGGGTTGGATGGTCGAATGGTTAGCATGTGCGCGCTGTATCAAAAGGTCTGTTATTGTGTCAACTGGCGTGGTTTTAATTCCCCGGTTGTACGTGACAAGGAGTATAGTCACCTATCCAATCTCATGGGTTTTCTCCCCACCACCACCCACCCACCCCGGTTTCCACCCACCCACCCACCCCGGTTTCCACCCACCCACCCCGGTTTCCACCCACTGCTAAAGATGACTACGCGCATGCAAATTATTGTAATAGAATTGAACCATGTATTAGCTGGGAAATGACCTAGTTTGTATAGAGTGGACATTAAATCCCACTTCCTCTCTCTCTCTATCTCTCTCTTTTCTCCTTTATTTTAATCTATATTATATACTTGATTTTACTGAGTATCATTTGAATTCGCTTTCGCTTTATCGTCTTTGAATTATTCAATTTCAAATATATCTATTGATGTATATAACATGATGGTGTAAAGGTATCTTGTATTATTAACAGCATGACCACTGTGGTCAATCAGGGAAAGTTAAATATGCATATTTCATCAGATTTAGATAAAGAGCCGACAGTACTCGCAATAATAGTTTAAAAAAAAGATAATGAAAGGGGAATATGTTTAAAGTTTCAGCCAAATTATTTCATTCTGAGAGGAGTTATCGTCGTTTACAGAATAACGTAGTCTCGATGGTCATTTTTGAATTAAATCATAAATCTGTTAAAAATCAAAACCGTCCAAAGTTATGGAGAGTTGATCATGGGCCTGGTATGTACATACATATCGCATTATTTTTTTATAGAACATTTGAGGTCAAAGGAAAGATCTGCAATATGCAAATTTAGCTCTAAAAAACGCATCTTTAACCAGCATAACATCCTTTATACTCAGTTATTATAAAATCTCAATATGTTTCACAACATTCAGCATGGTTAAACATTAGTGATAAAATCTGAAAAAGTTTCACTACCTTACGCATAATTTAATTTTCGAGATAAACGATTAATGTACATGGATGATAATTTAGCAGCCATTTGACTGTGACTTAAAAATTTCATTCAACTTCACGTATTCTTTGAAACGGTTCAGTTGCAAAAATTAATAATTTATGTATTTTGTTTGAAACAAAGGTATTTTTACAGCTACAAAAGAAATTGTGTTCGTTTTTTCGAAATGCAAGATGTACAGATGCAAGGGGTACAGATACAAAGCAGGCTGATGACTTGTTGCTTTGTATTTATATTTATTTATATTGTTGCTATGTTTATCCTAAAACGGGGGGTTGGATGGCTGAATGGTTAGCGTGCGCGCTGTATCATAAAGTCTGTCATTGAGTCGACTGGCGTGGTTTCGAATCCCCGGTTGTACATGACAAGGAGTAGGGTCGCCTGTCCAACCTCGTGGGTTTTCTCCAGGTCCTCCGGTTTCCTCCCACTTCTAAAGACCCCTACGCGCAAGCGAAATATTGAAATAAAATTAAACCATATGTTAGTCCCAAAATAACCTAGTTTGTGTCGAGTGGACGTTAAACCCCATTCCTCTCTCTTTATCCTAAAATATTTGTGATAAATATCCTATGAAATACGAATACAAAGCAAGCTTGTGTGAATATTTCATAGTTTGATTGTCTATTGTTGCTATGTTGAAAAGTGAAGTAACTATATATCAACATTGTTATGCATACTACCTCAGTATTTTGTTTTTAAAGATAATGTCCCGCAATATGATCAAGCAAAGATGGTCACCCTAGTTATGACCTCACCAACAAATTATTTTTGTAATACCATATGGGTACATATATTGGGGTAGTGATAATGTACCTTTGATTTAATACAATATGATTTGATTCGGGTATAACAAAAATCATTGTACTGCAGTCAAGTGTTTACGTAACATCAAGGCAGTATTCATTGAAGCATATTTTTTTTGTTGATACTGTTTGACCTGCCTGAAAATGGGCGACAGCTTGTCTATAGAGATTTTGGCGCCAGTGAGAAGTCTCACGAGATAATCGTCGTTCAACATTACATTGCGGGGTTGACTTCTCTTCCTGTGACGTCTACAGGTGGAAGTTAATTCATTTGTGATTTAAAGAAGATACATTACCTGGGATGTATGTGACTCACGATATCACCTCAGGTGGAACTGGACGTAAAACTCCAGGAACGAACGAACGAATAGGATGTGATTTACGGATTTCCAAATGTATAATTACCTCTGACGTGATTTACCTATTTTTGATGTATTTGTCAATGGCTGAATTACTATTTTGAATGGATAATGGATAATAATACTACGACCACGGTAAGGTGAGCATCTATGGGTGTGCTTTTTTAATATTCACCATTTTTATTTACACTTCATATGCAAATAATCGTAATCAAAATGAACTGATCGGATAAACGACTCGCGGGAAAATAAACAATTCATCTTATAGTTAAACATAGTAGATAAATTAGCAGGTGTTGATTTTTAAACGCATCTCAGGAAATTGGACGGCTCGTCTAATAAATAAACGCAACGCTTCGGCCATTTCTAAACGCCTCTCGGAGAAATTAAACGATGTACCATTAAATTAAATCATAGTACTAATTAAACGATTTTTGTAATTTCCAAACGATTTTTATCAATATCAAACGATGTTTTGAAATTAAACTATATGCATAGTTTTTAGCGCTATAAACTCCATATTAGACGATACAAGGATTACAGTGTATGTACATGGTAATGTGCCTTTAAATATATGTAACGAGCCGCCATTGGCATATGACAAGAAAAACTGAAGTTTTCTACTCTTAAAAATTAGTTAGACAGAACACTGTCGCTGCACTAATGAGAATAATGGAAATACATTTCATACAGTTAGGATGATAACTTTTTTCAGTAGGGCATTCATAAGATTCTTCAAAGTGAAAGAAAGAATTACTGGAAACTGTTGAAGTTCAATCGGCTTTTTTCATTTCACTAATTAGAATAACGCATGCAACTTTTGTCATTATAGAGTGTTCACAAGCTTCTACAAAGCAAAATATGGGCCATAACTCAAGAAGTAATTAAAAGAGACTGGTGAAATGCAATAGGATTCTTCATCTTACTAATGTAAAGAATATTTTAAAATGGTCTGAAATCTAGTGTGGATGTCAAACTAATGGATGGAGGCAACAACCACATTTCCATGTGGGTTCATAAAAAGTTCTCTAAATTAACATACATTTGCTATCAGATGCATATCTATAATGCAACTTACTTGTACATGACAGGATCTAATGATTGTAAATGATGTATATCCAGATTAGAGTTGTGACGACTTAAAATTTTTGCTAGGAAAAAACTAGCAAATGGTAGTTCCACTAACATGTTTTCATATATAGCCTGTAAATAGAGAAATAACAGTATAATGTGTATTATCAATCACAATATCAATGTATTATTCATCACAATAATAACAAGCAGTTGCCATGCAAGATATGCCCACATTTTGCAAGAGATGGACAGAGAACGAGCTAAAAAAATAATGTGATTTTTTTGTACAATCAGGGGCTATAATCCAGGAAGATATGGTCCGATATGCGCGAATATCGAAAGGAACCGAGATCTTTGGGGTTATGAACATACATTTCAAGTTTCATCAAAATCGGATAAAATTTGTGACCTCTAGAGGATCCACAACCTTTGTATTACATTACATACTTTATTACATACTTTTACACAATTTACGTACAAAGAGAGGCCATTTTGTTGGGCAGTTTCATTCCAATTTTCCCAAAATTCGAATACAACCTTCGTTATGGTGGAATGGTTATATATTTAAACGGTTTTTAAAATTGGAAAAAACGCCTGTGACCTCTAGAGGGATTTTTCGAACAATCAGGGGCCATAATCCAGGAAGTTACGTTCAGATATGCACGATTATCAAAAGGAACCAAGATCTTAGTGTGAAACGCTGACATATTCACATGTTTTTATTAAAGAGGATAAAAATTGTGACCTCTCAACTTTGTACAATCAAGGGCCATAATTCAGGAAGTTACAATCCGATATGTGCAAATATCCAAAGGAACCAAGATCTGTGGGTTATAAACATGTATTTCAAGTTTCATCAAAATCAGATCAAAATTGTCACCTCTAGAGGGTCCACAACCTTGATATACCAGATATTTACAACCTTGATATACCAGATAATTTTGTTAATTAGATAATAATTGTGACCTTTTGAGGGACCACAAACTAAAAACACGATTTTTCGTACTATCAGGGGCCATAATTCAGAAAGTTACGATCTGATATGCGCTAATATCTAAAGCAACCAAGATCTTTGGGTTATAAACATGCATTTCAAGTTCCATAGTTTTGTGACTACGGGTTCCCAGAATTTTAGAAAGTCGGCTCTGATAGAGCAGCACACTGCCTCCATTGACCATAAAACGTCACATAAACATGAAGATAGACTATTTAAAGATGTTAAACCACAACAGTTCCAGTAATGATACGACAAGTAAATACGGATGGTGATGTAAATAAAGTAAAAAAATAGTGTACTTGCGATGAATGAATGTTTCTTGTTGTTATATTTTATTTATGTATAAATAAAGAAATGATAATTGATTACATGTGTTCCTTTATTGCGGGGGTGGGTGGGTATAAATGCCGACGTGAGATTAAATTTCTGTGTGACTGTCCTTGACCTAATTAAACCCGATCGGCATTTCAATATCATGTTGTTTTGTGGCTTCTTATTATGTGCTAAAAATAGCACCACTTTCTCCACGTGAAAAATGACCGGCTGGGAAAATTTTGAAGTGGAAGCGCTGGTCAACAACCTTCGTATTACACACTTCTACACAATTTGCGTACAAAGAGCATCCTTTTTGTCGGAAAGTTTTTTTTCGATTTTCCCGAAATACAAATTCAACCTTCAGTATGGTGGAATGGTGATGTATTTAAACGTTTTTTAAAATCGGAAAAAGATAGGTTGCCAGGCAACTAAACATACACTCACAGCAGCTAAACATTTATAATACACTAAAATCTGATTAAGAGTAACAACTCATGAAGTAATTATCAGAAAACCATTAGAATTTGTTTGGTTTTTATAAAGTTCTGCCCCATGCTATCATGGATTAAGCTGTTCAAGTCATAAAAATTCATTGTACTTGTTCGTCTCAAGATATTAAACTCTGTGTAACAATCTGAAGTCAATCGGATGATAACTTTAGCCTCTAGAGTGTCCACAAGATTTTTAAAAGTGATCAAGGACCATAACTTTGGGAATAATTATTAGAAATCGTTGAAAATCAATAGAATTCTTCGTCTCATGACCTTAAACACTGTGAAAAATTTTAAAGTCAATCGGATATTAACTTTAGCCACTAGAGCGTCCACAAGATTTTTCAAAGTGATCTGGCAGTAATTATTGGAAATGGCCGAAAATCAATAGGCTTCTTCGTCTCATGACCTCAAACACTGTGTATAAATTTAAAGTCAATCGGATATTAACTTTAGCCTCTAGAGCGTCCACAAGATTTTTTGAAGTGATCAAGGGCCATAACTATGGCAGTAATTATTGAAAATCGCTGAATAGACTTCTTCGTCTTATGACCTTAAACACTGTGTATAAAATTAAAGTCAATTGGATATTAACTTTAGCCTCTACAGCGTCCACAAGCAATTGTGGACGCCGGCCTTGGACGGACGGACGGGGGCGACGACAATATACAACCACATTTCAATGTGGGCGTATAAAAAGGAACAAAGACCTATTCACACATTTTTTTTTAAATCAAATAAAAATTATGACCTCTACAGGGACCACAAGCTAAAAACATGATTTTTTGTTCAATCAAAGGCCATAATTCTGGAAGTTACGATCTGATATGCGCAAATATCAAAAGAAACCAATATCTTTGGGTTATAAACATGTGTTTCAAGTTTCATCGAAATCGGATCAAAATTGTGACCTCTATAGGGTCCACAACCTTTATTGACCAGATGTTTACACTATTTGCGTATGAGAGGCGGCCATTTTGTCCGGCAGTTTTGGTCTGATTTTCATGAAATTCGAACTCAACCATCCTTAGGGTGTAACAGTGATATATTCAAATGTTTTTTTAAATCGAATAATAATTGTGACCTCTAGAGGGACCACAAGCTAAAAACCCGATTTTTCGTACAATCAGGGGCCATAATTCAGTAAGTTATGATTCAATATGTACGAAAATATTTTGACACTATTTGCAAACGAGGGGTGGCAATTTTGTTCGTCAGTTTCGGTCCGATTTTCATGAATTTCGAACTCAACCATCCTTATGGTGTAACGGTGATATATTGTAATGGTTTTTAAATCGGATAAAAATTGTGACCTCTATGGGGTCCACAAGCTAAAAACGCGATTTTATGTAAATCAGGGGCCATAATTCAGGAAGTTATGGTCCAATATGCGCAAATATCAAAAGGAACCGAGATCTGTGGGTTATAAACATACATTTCAAGTTTAAACCAAATCGGATAAAAATTGTGACCTCTACAGTGTTCACAAGCTAACAACGTGATTTTTCGTACAATCAGGGGCCATAATTCATGAAGTTACAATCCAATACATGCCACTATCGACAGGAACTGAGATCTTAGGGTGAAAAACCTATATTTCAAGTTTCATTGAAATCGGATAAGAATTGTGACCTGTAGAGTGTTCACAAACAATTGTTGACGGACAGGGGCGACGACAAAATACGTCCACATCAAAATGTTGGCGTATAAAAATGAGCAAGGCCATAATTCATGAACTAATTAATTTACTGAACTAAGCCTCTTCATTCCACTAATCTGAACAAGCATATCAAGTAGATTGGATTATTATAACAATGCAAATAAATTACTGCAGATCGGATGATAACTATTGTCAATATTGCATTCAACAAGAATTTACAAAGTGAACTAGGGCAATAAATCTAGAAGTAATTAACATAATGATTCTGTGTTTGACTAATTTCAACAATCCATATATTTCAAGCATATCAGATGTTACACACCTTGGCATGGGCGTGGATTTAGGGGGGGACGCGTACCCCCAGTCCCCCCCCCCATAATTTTGATCGCCAGGACAGATTTTCAGGTTTGTATCCACATGATGGTGAGCTTGTTTCTATGTATCTGGAGCTGAATCGGGTCTTAGAACAAGAATTGCAATTCTTCAAGCACCAGTTTTTGGCCAAATCTATTTCACTTGTGCACGAAGCGTTCTTCATTATGTCACCTGAAGTGAGGCAGACGTTTCCTTATGTCGAAGCTTTCCTCATCTCACACTGCTGAACCCTGCTAGTTCCTGCTCAGCCGAGCGATCCTTCAGCAAAAAACTTGGCTGCGCAACTCCATGACGCAAAACCGACTGAGCCACTTGATGGCGTGTGTGGTGCATAATGACCCCCTTCATGTCGGCAAGATATTCAAAGAGAACAGTCCTGATCGTAGAACGAACGTCTTAGGATGATTCACTTAACTTCATGAACAATTAATATTTATGCAGCTTTGATGTAGGTAGTCAATTTTTCCATATTGTCATCATATTACCCCTAGTTACAGCCTTCATCAAAATAACACTGTTACAGTAAACTGTTCGTAATTATTTATTTCGTTTGGTAATGATGGAATGTTCCAGATTCCAGGGTTCGTCCGTCCCCTCCCAAAAGTTATGACAAATCCAAGCCCTTGCACCTTGGGATGTTTTTTCCTTTGATTTCCCATGCATGTTATGAAACGTATCAACCTGTTGTGACGTCATCAGAGGGTGATATCTGATATCAGCAGATATCACCCTCTGATGACATCACAACAGCTTTACGGACTCCGTAAAGAACCACCGGCTGCCAGGCAGGATACGCCCACATTTTTGAGAGATAAATAGAGAACAAGCTAAAAAGAAAGCGATTTTTCGTACAATCAGGGGCCATAATTCAGGAAGTTACAGTCCGATATGCACGAATATCGAAAGGAACCGAGATCTTTGGATTATAAACTTACATTTCAAGTTTCAACAAAATCGGATAAAAATTGTGACCTCATTAGGGTCCACAACCTTGATATACCATATTTTTACGCTAATTGAGAACGAACGGCGGCCATTTTGTCTGTCAATTTTGGGGCGATTTTCACAAAATTCAAACTCAACTGTTCTTAGGGTGGAACGGTAATATAATAATACGTTTTTTTAAATCGGATAAAAATTATGACCTCTAATGGGTCCACAAGCTAAAAACATGATTTTTCGTACAATCAGGGGCCATAATTCAGGAAGTTACGGTCCGATATGGGCGAATATCGAAAGGAACCGAGATCTGTGGGTTATAAACTTACATTTCAAGTTTCAACAAAATCGGATAAAAATTGTGACCTCTATAGGGTCCACAACCTTGATATACCATATTTTTACGCTATTTGAGAACGAACGGAAGCCATTTTGTCTGTCAATTTTGGGTCGATTTTCAGGAAATTCGAACTTAGCCATCCTTAGGGTGTAACGGTGATATAATTGAACGGTTTTTTAAATCGGATAAAAATTATGACCTCTATAGGGTCCACAAGCTAAAAACACGATTTTTCGTACAATCAGGGGCCATAATTCAGGAAGTTATGGTCCGATATGTGCGAATATCGAAAGGAACCGAGATCTGCTGTGGGTTATAAACTTACATTTCAAGTTTCAACATAATCGGATAAAAATTCTGACCTTTATAGGGTCCACAAGCTAAAAATGTGATTTTTCGTACAAACAGGGGCCATAATCCATGAAGTTTGTGGACGGACAGACGGACGGACAGGGGCGACGACAATATACGTCCACATGAAAATGTGGGCGTATAAAAATGAGTTTGCAAGGGTAAATGAATATCATCCTATATCGAACTAAGGCGGTAGCTATCAAAACGGCCGATAGAACAACACAAACTTTTTCTGATGTTTTTTCCTTTTTATCCCTCCATTTATGGTTCTTGTTGTCTATTACAATTATAATGTCCTATACAGTGCACTCTGTCACATCCGACCTCTGATCACTCCGGCACTCTTGTTACATCCGACACCATTTTCATGTCCCGATTTATTTCCTTATTACTCAGCCAAAAAATCTCCGTTCCGGATTACGACATCAATCAGCCGTCCCGTCATACGATTTCCATTGAATCGACACTGTATAATCCGACCTTCAATCGGTGGGTGTAAAGCAAACACTTACTGATCAATTATCCGTGAGATTAAAACTGGATGGGTGTGAAGCCACAAAAGATTAACAAGCAATCACCAATCAATTATCTGTAAGATAAAAACTCGCTACCGTGGGTCTTTGTTGATTATTTGATAATTTTAATCTCTTGTACGACAGTTGTGACAAATACTCAAGAATATCCACGAATTTTCCCCCGAATTCACAGTCGTAAAAATATTCCTAGCACCTGTTGGAAACATTCGTTGCGCATGCCGATTGAACCTGAATAACGTATAAGTTTGGTCACCCAACGGATCTCTTCGAACCGTTTGATGACGACGGGGATGCTCGATTCACAGTCTGGAACGTCCCGAATTGACAGAATTGCAATTGAGTGACGCAGAATTCAGTCCTGTCACAGTTCTGTCAGTCCCGTCGAGGGAGGTGGTGTGAGTAGAATTGTGACGTAATTAAACACGACGAACAGGTTTCGGCTGCATGGTTGGACGAGATATTTATATATCCAGTCAACGCATGCGTTGTAGCCCGAAGTACCCATTTTCAGTCGATTGTCACTATTTTGGTGATTGAGAGAATTCAATTCCGGAACGTTCAATCGAGTACGCCCAATGAACACGTGATAGCAAAGACAAGAGTGCGATCAACTGAAGACAGCGAAGAAGATAAATTAACGACAGACTTGACCTATTCAATATGCCTACGCATGTTAAATGAAATAAAAATTAATGTAATAAAATTTTGAATGTACAGAAAGGTTTATCATTTTTAAAGGGAATAACATTCTGGTGATTCGAAGTTCTATGTTCGAAGCTACATTAAAATAACATTTCCGGTTTTCGAAGTTACAGTATTTCCGGTTTTGAGAAAACTGGGTATTCCGACACTCTGCGTAATCCGACATATTGTAACGATCCTGTACGATGTCAGATGTGACAGAGTGCACTGTATATTATTGATGATAACATGGACAGGTTGAAATAGTATTAGAACATTCGGATGTTTAAATATTTGTTACTTTGTTATTATTTTTATATTTAGTCATTAAAATAAAGTAAAAACAAAAGACCTTATTTTTATATTGAGGGCAGGTGTATTTTTCTGTAGGGCTAGCAAATTTTGTCATGACACCTGCCCATGGGCTAGTGGTTCAAAAGTGAAATTGTGCACCCCTGCGTTAAAGGACAATATTGGTGTCAGTCATTATAAAATATGTCATAGAACTGGTTAAATACTTCCCGTTTCTTCACGTGCTTGTTACACATCTCCCGTGCAATGATCTCTGTGTTAAAATTATATTTGGTATGTATTTAACCAGCTCTATCACATATGTAATTATGACTGACACCAATATTGTCCTTTAATATAGGTGAAAAAAAAATATGTTCAAGATAGCAATATGGCCGATAACAGAAATTGATAATCAAAATTTTACCTTTCCTAGCATTCTTCCTATAAAATAATAATGTTTAGTAAAATCTCCTTCCAGACAAGAGGCTTGTGGATTTGGATACAACAAATGATCTGTTGTGATTTTGAAGAAGCCTCTGTTGGGGTCAAAGGCTGATTTTAATAAAACTGTTAGGAATTCCCTAAAGACACCTCCACCATCAATACCAGCTTCATCTAAACCTGCTGCATTTTTTAGTTGTACTCTCATCTTTAACTTGATGTTTGGCTCTAAAACACAGCAATCATTATACATTTGATAAGTTAACAAGCCAACACTGCGGCTGATGTCCCCCGCCAAAATCTCCCCCAAAAACAGATGACACATATTAATTAAATGCACATTATCTATGCTTAATCTAAGCATAAAATGTTCACTTTCAAACTCTGGTTTTGAAGTACCTGATAGTGAAACTACACACTAAGTTTCATCACTCTCCATCAGTTAGAATCAAAGTTATCTTTTCCCAACGCATTGACCAAAGAAATTGCTTAGCTTTAATGGGAAATATTAATCATTGAACTCAGTCAAGACATTCTCCTAGGGCTCTTAATCCATTTTGAAACGAACCGGCTGCCAGGCAGGATACACCCACATTTTGCAAGAGATGGATAGAGAACAAGCTTAAAACAAACATGATTTTTTGTACAATTAGGGGCTATAATCCAGAAAGTTATGGTCTGAAATGCGCAAATATGAAAAGGAACTGAGATCTTTGGGATATAAAGATATGTTTTAAGTTTTATCAGAATCGGATAAAAATTGTGACCTCTAGAGGGCCCACAACCTTCGTATTGCATACTTTTAAACAATTTGCGTACAGAGTGCGGCCAATTTGTCCGGCAGTTACATTTCAATGTTTCCGAAATTCGAATTCAACCTTCATTATGGTGGAATGGTGAAATATTTAAAGGGTTTTTAAAATCGTAAAAAAAAATTGTGGCCTCTAGAGAATCCGCAAGCTAAAAATGAGATTTTTAGAACAATCAAAAGCCATAATCCAGGAAGTTACATTCAGATATACGCGATTATCAAAAGGAACCAAGATCTTACTGTGTAATGGTGATATATTCACATGTTTTTTTAAATCGGATAAAAATTGTGACCTCTACATAGACGGCAAGCTAAAAACGTGATGTTTAGTATATTCAAGGGCCATAATTCAGGAAGTTACAATCCGATATGAGCGAATATCGAAAGGAACCAAGATCTTTGGGTTATAAACATATATTTAAACTCTCATCAAAATCGGATCCAAATTGTGACCTCTAGAGGGTCCACAAGCTTGATATACCAGATGCTATTTTGTCCTGCTGTTTTGGCCCGATTTTCACAAAATTCGAACTCAATAAACATTACGGTGTAACAGTGATATATTCGAACTTTTTTGAAATCAGATGATAATTTTGACCTCTAGAGGGACCACAAGCTAAAAACATGATTTTTCATACCATCGGGGGCCATAATTCAGGAAGTTACAATCCGATATGCCTGAATATCAACAGGAACCAAGACCTTTGGGTTATAAATATGCATTTCAAGTTTCATCAAAATCAGAAGAAAATTATGACCTCTAAAGGGTCCACAACATTGATATACCATATTTTTACGCTATTTGAGTACGAGGGGCGGCCATATTTAAAACTAAAACGAGCCTCGCCGGTTTATTGACATAATTCGAACCAATGTCATGTGACATCAGGGATTATTAATGACTGTTTCTAGGTGTTTTCGGTGTTCTATCCAAGGATTATATTCAACTGGTCAGTGAAACCATTAAATTATGATCCAATTATTATTTTAATATCTACCGGTACACCTGGAATTCATACGGAGCATGGAAGGTGCACAATAGATGCACAAACCATGCTGAGATCGTCTCCCTTTGATTGCCACACATGGCTTATTTCCTTACTGAACCTGTTATGAATAATCAGCAAGCTTGTTTTGTTTTTTTACCGAATTATCAAAATTACCGTTACTCTTCCTAATTACCCGGATTATGAACCACATGACCGATTCTCACTAAGCCGATTAAGATCCCTGCATTCGCCTCAGGAATATCTATACCTCAATTGTTGTGTTCCAAAGTCTTGACCAATCAAAATGCTTATCGCTACTTGGCCTAAGCAGAAAATTCTCATCATCGAACTTTGTCAATTTAAACCAAAATTATCGTGTTCCAAAGTCTCAACCAATCAAATTGCTCATCTCTGCTTAGCCTAAGTGGAAAATGCACATGAACAAACTATGTCAAGGCATTCACGTAATAGACACCTACTCCAATTTTGAACATTCTACCTCAATTAGAAGGAGAGTTATTGTGTTCCAAAGTCTCGATAAGTTATACCCTTTTCTGGGTTAGAACTTAGCAGACTGAGAAATTAAGAAAATGCCATGGCCGCCAAATATTAAGATTGAAGAAAGTATGTATCCCATTCAAAAGTCCATAGCAACCAAGCTTATAAATCAATCAAATGACTTGAAAATTGTCACAGTTATAGCTCTGATCATTTCCCTTCATATGATAGCCCTATACCTAAAAAAATATTTGATAAAACATCCCAAAATGATTAGTCAAACAATGACCAAGTTTTTTCAGATCCTGCTCAAATCACAAATGTTAAAGTTTGAAATACAGATCCAACACCTGCAAAAATAAGCATTACACATCGTTGTTGTTAATAAAATTTATTTAAACAAAATAACACATCTTTGGCATATATGAACATCACTCACTGTTACCAAAGCAACAGCTCAACCGAACGGCCATCTTGGCTTTCAATTCTAAAATGTCCAAAATTAAGCCAATTCCACCAAAGTCTGTCCTAATGTACAATGAATGACGTTTTAATCAAATTAAAACCAATTCAACACATGCAAATTTTTTTTTTCCCACCTCGGATTCATTTTTTTTTTTGTGTGTGTGTCTGTGTGTGGAGAGGGGGGAGGGTATTTTTTTTTTTTTTTTTTTTTAAATTAATTACTTTTTTTTTTTTAAAAATTAAGGAATAAAACACCACTTATGATGTTTTTGCACACCTAGGACGCTAACAGGGCTCGAAATTCGTTTTTTCGATCGAAGGCCAACTTGCAACCTTGATCCAAGGCCAAAAATTGAAAATCCAAGGCCAATTTTTAAGTCATGAATAATGATATTATCAGCTTATTTAGAAGCTTTTAATATGTCGATCATATGTAAATCTGTTTATTGTAGATCTTGTTTCTCAATCAAAATGTTGTTACAGGCCTGTTTATTACTTTCACAAAAATAATGCATCCTTTTTTAACTAAGGGAGAAAATTCTTATTGTACCGTTTTTAGTACGATTATTTATTCTAAAAAATATTTAAAAAATCGGCATGTAGACATATTGAGAGTTGAAAGTATTACTATATCATCGGTAGACCTGGGTAAAATATCGATAGTATCGATAAGATATGCCAAAAAGCACTGTCGAGTACCGGTATCGTTCTCTTCGTCTATTTTTCGTGCATGCGTAGGAGTCGACTCGATGTTTTCTGTGAGTGTGACTTAATCATTCGTTAATAATACAATAACCTACATCGGTCACTTTATATTTACTTCAAAGTCTCAATCTCAATGTAGCTTTTTAAAAAAAATGTTAAAATAAATTCACCCACATTTAAACAATACTTTAGTTTGAAACAATAATCGCCATATCATGGAATTCTCTAAATTGTAGATACCCGGATGTGTAAATAATTCAGAGTTTTTCCCCTTTCAGAATTCGTCTGCTCATTATAAATGACATAGCAATGATGGATGCCAAAAACGTTTGTATTTCTTCTTTCGGAATCAAGGCTGTATTTTTTTAATAATAATAAACAATTTACGCATTCGTGATAACAAGCTCTTTAGGCTATTACATTTTCTTTAGTTTTTGCACACGAATCGACAACGATTTGTCCACCATGTTGGTATTTGTCGCGCTCACGTACGCAATGTTTTGAATCGACTCGTGCTCATTTTATTTTAGTTCCTGCACATACATAGGCCTATCAATGGTATTTCGTCATTTAGAACCAAAGCTACATTATTTAAAAATAAAGAACAATTTATACATAATATGAGACAGTTTATTATTAATTAGATGAATAAAAACATCTATCGGAGTATCACAACATCGTATGGTTTGACTTTAAAACCTGTAATCCAGTCTTCATTACGTCCGTGAAAATAAGAGTGTTTCGATACCGATTATCGATAGTAAAAATAACTCTCGATACCCAGCACTAATCGGCGACCATACATGGCCGTGGATAGTTAAAAATCGGCCACGAATCTGCGGTTAAATTCTAAAGTTCGAAGGCCATTGCCGCCGAGGCCGCCGGCAGTGTCGAGCCTTGGACGCTAATAAGAAGACCAGGTGCCAAATAAAATTTAAAACTTTTTTTTTTACCAAGAATTTTTTTTTTTAAACTTTTATAAAATAATAATTACTTTTTCACAACAAAATAAACAATTAAGGATTAAAACACCACTTATGATGTTTTTGCACACCTAGGACCCCTCTAAGAAGACCAGGTGCCAAATTAAATTTTAAAAAATGATTTTTTTTTTCCACGAAAACTTAAGGATTAAAACACCACTATGATGTTTTTGCACCTAGAACCCCTTTAAGAAGACCAGGTGCCAAAATAAACAAGCCAACAGTGAGGCTGATGTCCCCCGCCGAAATCCCCAAATAAATAGATGACACATATTAATTAATCGCACATCTATTTTTTTCCAAAGTATCAAGCAATCAAACTGATTATCAACTATACACTAAGTTTCATCACTCTCTATCAGATAGAATCAAAGTTATCTTGTCCCAAAGCAGGAAACTGCTTATCTCTGCTTAGCTTTAGCTCGATATGTTAATCATTGAACTTAGTCAAGACGAACATCTACATCAAGTTTAAACATTCTACCTCAATTAGAAGATGAGTTGTTATGTTCCAAAGTCTTGACCAATCAGAATGCTTATTGCTCGTTAGGCTAAGCAGAAAATTCTTATCATCGAACTTAGTCAAGGTATTGATGTAATGAAACTATACACCAAGTTTCATCACTCTCACTTAATTAGAACTAAAGTTATCGTGTTCCAAAGCATCAACCAATCAAATTGCTTATCTCTGCTTACCCTAAGCAGAAAATGCTGATCTTCGCACTCCATCAAGGCATTGATCTCATAAACCCCTACACCAAGTTTGAACATTCAAGC